TATATATATATATTCATAGTTTGACCTTGAAGATGCCGGAAGTTCGCTAGGACACATAAAAATAGTTTGTTTTTTTTTGGGGGGAGGGATATTCATATCCCCAACAGAATGTAAAGAGTATGAAGAGTTTGGTTGTTGTTGATGGTATGGTGCGGCCACATATCCCCAACAGAATGTAAAGAGTATGAAGAGTTTGGTTGTTGTTGATGGTATTAGTGGTGCGGCCAACCACTCACGCTGGGGTCCTAGCGATTCCAGGCACTTAGCTTGGGACACTGCATGAAATGGTAGCTCACTGATGTCATTGGATTTCTTTCCAGGCTGTCCCACCGGGTATTTGAAAGTTTAGTTATCTCCGAATGCTTGCTGCAGGCTAGCTCTAGGCCCCTCCCTCACCAACTTTTCCACTTAAAGGTTTTAAACCTAACCAAATAGAGTTTTTGGTTGTAGACACTGAAGCATCGGTGTTAACTCTGATATTGATGCTGATGATCGGTTAGTGTCACGTGTCGGCTAACGTATTGTGACAGAGCACTCCTCACGGTGGCTAGAGGCGGCAGCTGACCCTATTAGTGGGCATGTGCTAACTGCAGCTGTAATAAACCATAGGGTGACCAACCACAGGATACCGAAGATGATGCTAACACATCAAGGACCCATTTCCAATCTAATTGGTGAATCAATGTCGCTTTATTTGAGTGGACTTGAAAGGACCGCAGACAACTTCAGGAATGCGCGTGACTGTGCAGGGTTCACGAAACTTTATTGCAGTTTCCGCGGTCAATCTTACTTTTTCACGTTGATATAATGATCTCCCAGTGGACAACTTACTGGCTGCGAACCTAGAACTTTCGGCAATAAAAAACGCTCTATAAGGGATATCAGAATGAAAAAAGGACAAATCCCTTTACTGCGGCCGTAGCTCAACCACGTTGTATCCACAAGCGGTGAAGCGAAACGGCAAACAATCAGCAGGTTGAAGTGGAAACGTGCTACTGGTGGAAGTACATTGAACTAACAATAATCTGGGGGTCGAAGTAAACCAGATAGGTTTCCACGACTGTTCTACAACCGTTAATAGGTCCATTCGACGTCGCATGGACGCCAAATACCTGCTTAGTGTGAATAATCAGAATCAAAGGGTCCTTTTGATCAGGAACTAAGTTAGCTTTCAGTGTGGTGGTTGACTGAATGGAATTAACTGAAGGAGGACGCTGAATTCAGATAACTTTCACCTGTAGTTATGGGCATCCCATGAAATACAGATGGGATAAGCTAGATTGAGATTATGGAGATGAATGGCGGCGAGCGGTATTCGGACAATGCAGGCAGTGTCAGATTTGAAACATAAGATGTGAAACGGAGACAGGCAACCACAACACGCGCTTTAAGTGAAATAGTGAACGGGTAAATAACCCTAGGTCTCTCGATGTGCAACAAGGAAAATCGATTATTTTTAGTGTTCTTTTGGTCATAAACACAGGTTTGAAACAAGATGCATTGTCCGAAACTGATTCAAGTCTCGTTCGAATATTCAACCTACTTTGCACAAATCAGCAAGTGAGCGGCCCACGTACATTCATGATTACTTCAGTGGGTGAAGATGTGTTTTCCTAATTCTGTACTTTATTGTGCTTATGCGGCTGGCTATCGAAGCAACGACCAACTGGATCTATGGGCGAATACGACCTGGACACACCGTCTTAGTCAGTGAAAATTGAATAACTCGCTCAGCTCTTGAAACACTCATTCCTTATCTACACAAATATTGACCTTCTTTACACAGCATAATTCTGCATCTCGAGGAGAAGGCCACAGAAATTCTAGTGAGTGATGGTGGAGAATTTTTTCAAATGTTTATTTGCTTCGTGCGGAGAGACTGAGCGGAATATACGGGACTTTATTTTCGGAAAATTAGATTCAGGAGATTTTTCAACGGTAAATATTCAGGCTCATTGAATAGACGATTCAGCTGTTTATCCGAAAAGTGGGTACCGTATCGAAAATATGACATCTGACTGGCTGCTTGGTTCCACTTCATATGTTCAACATATCCCTGCGAGCAGTGGAATAAACAGTCTCAACGAACTTTGTCTGCACCATACTCCTCCATCAATGGCTGCTTGTCAGGTCTTCGTTTATCAACTGTTTTTATATGGACTATAAGAACCCTAGAGTATGTGTGCACTCACCATACCGGTCTGGTATGCACGTTCGTCAACCTACTCATTTGTGATCAGGAGATCAGTGATGTTGAACGGGCCATGTGAATGCACGTGTATTCAACTGAATACATAAGAGCGTGTACATATTCACCAGATGTCTTTATGTTGCCAGCTTCATTGAGTCGTTGATCAGACAAGGCCACGAGTGGAGTGGATTGAGAAATTAGGGTCTGAACTGCGGTTTCAGTATGTACACAAATCCATTGATGGGCTTCTGGAACTAGCGAATAACACCCTTCGTCGCCGTTGCCCTTGAAAAACATTTTTCACTGCAGGTAGTGTGGAAGCCAACAAGGCTTCTAGTTCTTTGCTGGAGGCCAGAATATATACATAATAGATTATCAGTTTCATCTTATGCTCTGGTGGAGAACTACTTAGAGTGAGTTGCTGATGCAGGATACTGAAAAGCTAGAAACGGGAACTAAGATAGTCACAGTCCACGTACCACACGAGCAGGGATACGCCACATCCCGTTTCTGTACTTGCGACTCATGGCCTGCCACAGATTTCCCCAAGAAACCAGCATTTGAGGGCCACTGACGTCTATATCAGGTTTTGTATTTCTCCTACAATAAAACCAAATCTGAACAAGAAAACAGAGACCAACATCAGTGTTTCCTGGATCTCGTCATCAGGTTGAAATAGGGATAAATAAGGAAATATGCAATGAAGATTGGTTAGTGAAATCAAGAAGTGGAGACATGAATGATTGATCGTTGGCACACTCCACCTCGCGTCTAATTGGATGCTGTGAAACAGTCTGGAGGGCCATTGAGGGACTTGGTCGGTTGACTCGTGTCACATGACCAAAGCAGACTGTCCATACGAAACGTTTTTGACAGCACAACACCGGGTCTCGCAGAGATATGGCGACTGCCTCAGCTGTAGTCAAGTCACGCTCCGGGATCGATACTGGCAGTCTATTGGGTGCTCAGTAAATGACATGAAACGACTCGTTCGGATTGACTGTGCCCGGTCTCAAGTAAGTGGGACGCGATTGAGCCTTTGGCTGAATCGTTAAGTCTAGTGATGCTCCCGTTTTCTCTTATTAAGTTACCGTGTCGTGCGCCCAACACACTCCGCTGAACAACAGCGGAAGAAAGAATACAAAGCCATATTCTCGAACGGCGTATAAACAGCCCTTGGCCAAACTATTAGTTTGAGGGTCATTGAAAATATCAACCGAGTTTCTTCTCACAAATATGTATGAGTATAACAGTTCTCGTTTGCTGCAGGATCGCGACACGTTTGAAGCCTAAGGCCAGCTTTTGCTTGTTTCATCTGGTCTCACTTTTCGATAACACGGTTAAACAGCTTGTTTTGTTTTCGTCCCCACTGAGTTCCGTCAGCTTCTTGTTTTCAGGTGCTTGTGTGGCCAAGTCTCGCTGGGAGCTTTACTGCGATGAAAAAGGAACACAACGACGTGACTATGTAGAAGGAAAAGAAATTTGTGTTTGTCGGGTTGGTCTCTTAATTATCTCTCCTTGCTCGCTTCATTGCAAAAAGTTTCAGTTTTTATCCGGTCGTTTATGAGTGAATTCCAAAGTAGTAGTTGAGAGGTTGTCACATTGCAATTTGCCGCTTATGCCACATATCTTGGTTGTCGTATATTTATCCAAAATAATAACTTTAGTAAACAAGGTACTGTAATTTATCATATGGACCCACCCTCTGCCATACCTTCTTATTCGTATTGTTACACCCTATTATACTTTCCATATTGTGTCGATTGCATCCGGTATGCTTTTTCGACTTCTGATTAGAGATCGTCAGTGGTATATTCAAAAACGCAGTGCGAACGCCGGGAAGGAGAGTTCACTCTCAGATTTCGCACTTATTGGATAGGTAGTCCATATATTGAACTCTCACAAACACTGTGAACCTTTGATTCAACTTGGAGTTAGCTCCAATTTGGTCTGAGGAACCAAGATGCCTTATTTGCGACTTTCACAATAAGTCAGATATTGACCTGGTTCAATTCGATGTAGACAAGAAGATTGGTGTACAACTTTTTGATGAAGTTTTAGAATGTCGTCCCCAGCGTTTGTTTTTATCTGCGCTGTGTACTTGAGCTGTAAATTTCTTTTCCTTATATTCGGAATGTGTCTAATGCCTCTCGCCATGAGATCGAACAGCATGTTAGGGGTTACAAACAGATGAACAGCGGTGCGCTTTTGTCTTGGAACCACTTATGTCATCTCCAAATTTGCCTTACCGGAGTACTATCTCGAAGGCACTGCTGCCCTGACCTTGTGCACCACAAAGGCCGAACTATATAGATAATCCAATCTACACTATCATCGAATGAGTTTTTCTTCTCACCAGGGTAGGATGCGAACATGGAAACGGCGTAAACGAGTGACATTTAAAAAATTATCAGTCCGTTTTAGTGTTTGAAATAATTGGATCCATTCCATTTTGGACTACCTTAGTGAGGTTCTGGAACAGTTTGTGCAGGATAGAAATATTCTTGATATTTCTTTCGGCTGATAGCTGAGCGGCTCACAACAAAATGTCGTGAGCCAGTGACGCTGAATACAGCATAGCTGAATGGGGAATAGAACAATATCAGAATAATTGCTTGGTTTGCAAATGCGCCAGTTTGTACTTCACTCAATGGGATGAATTTTGCATAGAATTGTGACGCACCGGTACATCCCTGTACAGTTTGAACATCAACAGCAGAACACCTTCAACTCCCTACCGTTCTATTGGTGGATTAGATTCAGTGAATCCAGGTAATTGTCTCCCATATTGCGAATATCATTTTGAGTAGACGCTTTTGGCTTGGACTGATTACGTCCTATCTTCGGGATCATACGTAGTCCATATTTTGTTACTACTGACCCTGTTGAAGGTTTTACTATCTTTAGGCTGAGAGGCATGGAGCAAATATGATAGATAGTATTTAAATCAGATAACACTGCTATTTTCACTGCTGTTTTCATTCTCCTGCAAAGGAATCTCATATGGGACCAAGATGTGAGAAACTGAGGGATCCTTGCATCGACACCTCAGATCCACGCATGTTAGCTGGCAATGCAGCGTGCAATTCACCGGAAGGTGGTATGTGTTTCGGCTATTTGGGCTCCAACGCATATAAATGCAAGTAAGCCCAGTTCACTGACGACAGTTCCTACGCGTGTCGATATTGTGAGAATAGCTTTGCGTTTGAGATTCTTATTCAAAGAATTCATATTACGGGATGCTCGTATAGTATCCTCATTCTTTTGTGGTCAGTTTTGGAGTGAGGTTTGTCGGAAGTAAAACATCGCTCTTCTCGGAGAGTGGATCATCTTCATTCACAGATGTTGTGTTGTCAAGTATATTTATTTAAGTTTGATACTCAGATTTATCAAACCAAACTTAATATGGTTCCAACTAGAAGCAGTTAGGTGGGGATCAGTACAAAGGGGAATTCATGCATTGACAGGTAGAGGATTCGGCGCCATTGTTTATACTTCAAAACAGATAGGATAACTGATGGGATCCTGGGATAGAAATCTGGGTAATAGCGAAATCCATTTGGTTGGCGCATTGTGACGAACCTACCACGAAGTGACTAGGCCTTTTCATGATGGGAGGCTTATATTCTTCAGCAATCCAATGATCTGCATTAGGGGATGACCATACAACCACACACAGGTTCCATTCCAGCAGGTTGGTAGATGGACGTAGCTGTAGCAAACAGCTCCCAAGGTTTCCAGGTTGAAAGTTTGAACGCGCGTGTCCACATGTCCCTTTAAAGTTCGACTACTCTAGTAGTCGATAATCATCACCTTTCGATGTGACTTCTGAGCCAAAGATTTTAGTTCTGGATCCTAGTCGACCTCCCTTCTTGGTTTTCGCAAACATGATAGTCTGCACACAGCTGTGAAAGACACAAGCAAGCGTGATTATATCGTTCGGGATGTCTTATTCACCGAATACAGCAATGATATTAGCGGAAAAACGAAAGTGCCGATTTCTCCTACTTTTTTTATTTTCATTTCACAAGTCCCTCCCTATATGTCAACAGCTCTCCCCTAGATCCCTGATTAGATATGTTAATCAGGAACCCGAGAAATCTACCGGTTACGAGCTGCTGCTCACGTTTGCCACCTCGCGTCCGCTCTTTAGAGTCCGGTCACCTGTTTTTATTGTAGCTTTCTACTCCGCACCCTTAAGCAAATAGGCTAGAAAACCGTCCTCAAGTGAATTCCAGATACTCTATGGATAGATGCTTTTCGCATTTTCGAAAACTCAATAACAGTACCCTAGCTTTCTAGACCCTATCGAATACGAACTTAATTTGGTTGAGCAGTCGGTTAAACCGTCACATACTGAGGCAACGATTCCTTAACTGGCTTGATACCTATAAACGGGCAACGCTTTGCCGTCCAACTCTCCTTCGCTAGTAGACCTCATACTAGTTGAAATTGTGATGGCTCTTTACATCCGCGTAGTTCGTAGCTTTGATCAAGCAGTCGAGAAGCAACGACCCTCCAGATCAAGCGCAGTCGAAATAGCTGGATGAAGTGGCACACGAGTGGGGCACCTCAGTTTGTGGGCTTTTTGTTGCTGGACTATTTAATTCAGATGCAAAGTGCCTGCCGCAACTCTGTATCTACCCCCAGTTGATTCCCCGTCCCTCAGCTGCTGCGCGACCATGTGGTTAAGCTGATCACATAGCCATGAGTCACCGACAGCGAGGTCCAGTACATAACTTCCGACCATTCTGCAATACATAGGTGGACCAAGAACACGATCCCGTCCGATGCACATTCTCATGAAATCCTTTGAGTAAATCTATGGACCGACCTTCTTATATAGCATTAGAAAAGCCCCGGAAACCGCAATTTGCAACGTTTTACGATAAGCCTCATCGGAGAACATTCATCTTAACAGTTACAAACGACGATGAGAATGCTGCTCGTCGTATTCTCGAGTAGGTACAGAGGAACCAATAGACAATAGAATGGTCGCCGTCACTATCTGTTGCAAGACGCTGCATCCCGCCGGGTCCGACCGATCGGTTACACATCTGCTGGAATGAAGCGTGTGGACAGGAACCAGAAAGTTCAGTAAACTGACAAGACCAGTGCAGTCGGAAAGGCACCATATTCAGTAATGCTGCAACACTTGAACTCGGCACGCGATACGCATTTCCCAATGCATTAAGCATGATTCCGTCCCAGTATGGGGTATAGTGACTGCATCTTCCCATTATGTCAAGTGATTGAGCATAGTACTGGCGAACAACCATGGCTTTCCTCGGCCTAAAGGGTCTTTTGAATTTGTAGAGTATAGTTGAAATATGTAGATACACATCGTACACTGGTCAGGTTGTGTTGCAGTGTGCAATGAACTGACTAAAAGCTTCCTCATGGCTGGTAGGGTTAGTCAGGACTGATCTTCATCTCCGTTTCTGTCTAAGTTTTCCACTGGCATAATCATGAGAAGCACACTCCAAGAGATCGAAATCCCACGAAGCAAAACGCTATATCGGACAACATTGACGCTTATCAGTCCTCACAGTGTACTCTGAAAGGAATACCGGAAGTGGTCTTTTGTTTCGGCATGCGTTGTATGCTCCCAAAGTGCAAAACCTTGCCTCAAGAATTTCTACTTAGAATTGAAGTGCTCGCTTTAATCGATAGATTTACCTATCTCGACAAAGGTCCGAGTATACCGTGACAAGGGAAATAAATATACGCATCATTTAAACGTTAGTAGTTTTCACCACCTTTCTTCATGTATGATGTCAGAAACAAATTTCACTGGAACTTAAGTGCCATGTATACAAAGTAACTGAGAGCAACCTTAATTTACGGCTGCTAAAATTGGCCATTCTGATCTGCAGACCGTGAACGCCCCCCAAACATTGGATCATGATACCTTTGTAGCATAACAAATCTGACAGGAGCATGCCCGTGACGAACTGATGCGGAAATAGGTGCTCGGCCACAAACCAACATCGCTGGAGTAGCAAATAAATATTGTCCGGTTAAAGTGCTCTACACACGTCCAACCACCGTTTGCCGTCGGCTCCAAACTCTGCGAAAGGTTGGTGATACATGACAACGCGAAATTAAGATCTTACCGAGTACTGTGAGATATTCTCGTCTTACTTGATGAGACCCACGTACTTCTGCTTGCGTGTGGTTGGAAATCCTACAGGACATGGTGCCCAACCGATTCTGGTGGTAAGCATGCTGTAGTAGTAGCGGTAGTAAACACAGCTCAATAAGCAGACCCAATACGCATGTACAAAGTACACTTATCAATCGAGGTGAGATCGTCACTTTCGCCCGGGGTAATATCTTTGTCTCACATAACTGTAGGCCTTTATAACCAGGCTCACAGTACTTCTTTCTTTCAGCTGATTGATCATGTTATTCTAGTCCTCATCCGCTGAGGCGCCCCTAACTAAATCACTTGGAGAGTGAAGTGGCGATTCGGATGTATTTTGTTTTGTACCCTGAGTAAGATGCCACGGAATGTTGTGGACGAATTTTTTTCATCTTTTGCTTTCATTAGGCGCGGGAAACTTCGAAAAATAAAAATATATTGAGGCGTGAACACAGGATTAAGGGTCTCCTATTCTATATTCGGTGAAAAATGTGGTAGAAGTCGGTGTTTGAGTAATAACGCACTTGTCAGCAATACTCGTCATTTTTTCCAGGGGATGCAAGTTGAGCTTTCGAGCTCACCGATTCTGGAATTTCTGTTTGCCTTGAACTCCGTTGAACAAAAGGTCGTTGGAGAGAAGTGATGCTTAGATCTCCTTAACTTCATTGTCTTTAGTTGACAAACCTTTGGAATATGAAACCATGATAATTTTGGTCTCGACTGTATAGCGAGCAGAATTTTACCGAATCTCAAAAACGTTCAGAAATGTTTCAGAACAACTGAACGGTCGAATGAATTTTGCGAACGTGAATCATCGTCTGTTCATTTGTTTGATTACATTCAGACAATTGTTCAGGAAATGACCACCGGTTGGTTTCCAACCAAATTGGTCAGCAGAAAACCTATTTGGACTGTTAAAGCCTATATGAAGACCCAGTTATTTTGCATTTGTTAAGCGGTAACTTGTAATTTAACCTCTTGGTCATTCTGATATCCAGCGTGCGTGTGGTTCACGATTTGTCGGTTCAGCAAATTTTAAAACTCAGTGTTCAACAAGTACGTTTGGTAGAGATCATATTCACGAACTGCTAGATCAAGTGTTCCCACCTTTGTAGACTTCAGCATAATTTTACTCGCCCTTTAACTATTTACTAAAACGCTTAAAGAAGATATAGCTAACCGGAGAGATACTGAATTTCCATCCTTATTCTGCACCTCCTGAGCCCGCACTACGTAAACGCCAGTTATCGCTCAAACTTTGGAATAACTGTACCAGAGTAATAAGAAGTCCCTAGGCACTGTACAGTGAAGCCTCTGGCAGCAGCCAAATAAGTGGCATCTTTGCAGCTTGTGGTTAATTAATTCCTATTATTAATCGAGGTTTATCCGCCCACTGCCTTGAACTACTTGCCCTCGTATCCATTCCACCGTACTGGCTGTCGTGATGCAATCCCATGGCTGGTGTCACGTCCCTAATTCCATCACCCACCTAGAGCGTCCGATTTACCACCTGAACAGTAAGTGGAGATGTTTTTTGTCGGTACACAGAAAGTCTACGTGGCAAACAAGAGGACAAGCCAACTAACTCATTTTGACCTTTGATGTCCCCAGATTCTGATCACTGTGAAGTCCCGCGATTACTTTGTTTTAGTTTACGTATAGAGGGCATCCACCTCCATGCCCACACACACGTCTGTGTGGCCAATGCGTGTGTTGTATCGTCACAATCACTGCAACGTGTTAACAAAGACTCATGTGACCTAATGTGTCCTGATCAGGATAAATGCTTAATCGATTGGTTTCAGGACAAGCTGCGTCTGTTTTCGGTGAAAGCCGTTGACAGTTGCTAAATACAAAAGTCGAAATGGTTCGTTTTTTTCATTTTTAACAGCTGCTCCAATGGCTACATGTCCGATGCGGCCTATCCACATTCAAATTGCCTTCGACTTCGTGATAGTTGTCTAAGCAGGGTTTGCGTCTACGGGGACTGCATTTCATCAAAAGATGGTCAGGTAGGTCTCAGTGTTTGCACATCCACTGGCAAAGTCGTGGATTCTTACCTTCAACAAAAAGACGCGTTCGCCTACCAGTGGGATGCGTTTTTGCTTAATCAGTGGATGTATCGGTCTGTAAACTGCATTTTTATGAGGAGTACAGACGACTATGAATTGGCTTTCAATGCCCCAATTAGACGAGATAGCACCATTTCCGGTGGATGAATTTATCAGCTTCGCGGTGCGGGGATAGCAGAATCATCGCTCAACAACTTACCTTTATTGAGGTGCTACCTAAGCGAATTCGAGGACTAAGACGAAATGCTACGTCAGCAACTGCGTGTTTTCAAACTGCCTACGAATGCATCTTGGCATACCGTTTCAGATAAGACGAATTATACCTGGGGCATAAATGTGTGCAGAACTCCCATCCCATGTACTTTCTTTGTGTGCAGATTGAAACCCAAAACCCTCATCACCACGCAGTAGGTATAAGTAGTCTTGTTGAAAACGAAAACTCTAACAGGTCACGTGTTCCTCTCCAAGACGTGGCCGTTGACGGCGCTGATGAGTAACCAACTCCTATCCAGAAGCTTGTGGACTCTAGTGTCCTTCTAGATCCTTGGACTGCACTGTGCTGATTCTTCTCATAACTAATAGCTATACAGTCCTTCCCGGGTGATCTAGATATACAGAATGAAACTACACACCGAGAACAACTGTCCAGAGAGGTCTTTTTGGGTTGTCAGATGGTCAGTGTCTAACTCCAGGAGACTGAATCATCCAACATGACCAAGTAGATTTTGCAAGTTTTCACCTATCAGCACTGTGGAGCATTTCAAGATATTCCACACTCATCATCATCATCATCGACAGCATGACATCAGTGTTCAACACCGATGCTTCACTGCCGTACAACCATGACTTATTTGAAAGCCTTATTCCGGACTCCTCTACTTAAATGTGGAAATCCGTATAAGAGAAGCTCGAAAGTTTGTATACTGGTCTAATCACTGTCCGACTAGTTTTCGCTTTCATTCCATCACATAGGAAAGCCACTGTCTCTGTGCTGAGGAAGCCTACGGAGAGTTTTGCGACAAGCTACGTGGAAAATGGTCACTGTGGACTCCGTGGTCGGTATGCACACCATGGAATCTCGTCTCGAACTACAGACGACACTCTCGTCCTTGGGACTGTTTAGGTTTGGCATGCNTTGCGACAAGCTACGTGGAAAATGGTCACTGTGGACTCCGTGGTCGGTATGCACACCAAACTGTGGAATCTCGAACTACAGACGACGCTCTCGTACTCGAGACTGTTTAGGTTTGGCATGCCGTGGTGGTGACGGTCATATCCAAGTACAGCCATGCGAAACAATGCCTTGCCCAGATCAACTGTTACTACTGGCCAGTGAAGGACGCAGTGGACAAACTGGTGACTTGAAAACGGAATTACTCCAAGCCGATGTGGCCAGAATGGTGAAACTAGTCGGTGCTGTGGCAAAAGTTTTCTTACTCATATCCTGCCTACTCACGATGGTCATTGCAACAGCTCTGGTTTTAAGTACATATCTCAGGCAAAACCTTAACGGAGCATTTATTGTTTAACTGCCTCTTAGGCATTCCACTTTTATAGTTTGCATAACTGTACTTTTAAATTGTTTCTGTTTTTTTAATAAAATGAAGTCGCCAACAATCGAAACTTGTGGGACTGATTGAAGTGGTTAACCTGAAGTCACGGTTACCATTGCGAAGACCACTGGTGCGTCATCACCGCAAGACGGTATTAATGACAAAAAATCCCGGCAATCCCCGGAATAATAAAACGGGAGACGGAGGACGTAACAAAGTCTCATTGAGAAAAAAAATGACGAAATCGAAATTGAAGGAAAACTGGTGTCAACTAAGTATGGTACTTATAGGGGTCCTTGACCTGGGAACATCTGTTATAGGTAAAACAAAAATTTGCGCATCAGTAGGCCGAACCATTGAATTTGCACATCATGTCACTTTCTGTAGTCTGTAAGTGCGCCTCATAAAACAGATTTGCAGTCGCCTTTCACAACCACTTAACTTCAAGCGATTGTCCTCTTCTGCTATGTGACGACGGTTCGATCAATTCACTGCAATTTATCAGCTATAAACCGTGTGCCATAGGCACATTGGTTCCATCTGCCACGATTTCGATCACCGAAAAACTGAACAAACAACCAAGCCTTGGAGGCGAAGGCATGTTCAGTTTGTTCGGAAATTGGGTAGCTACACATTGAAGGCGACAACCTTGATGCACGAGTGCCACTGACTGCGCAACTTCCTTCGGGGGCAACAGACCCGGTGTTGTGGGTTCATTTTTGGCAGATCTTTGGGTGTAGGCCTGATCCAGGTCGGTATTGCCTTTTCGGCTGCTTATTAGTGATGCTTTGTTAAAATGAGATTGGGGTTTTGCGGTCGGAATCGCAACAATATAAGCTTGTATAATATGTGAGATTTTCGGTCGCTTAGATTTTCATGCAGGTGATGTTGAACCTCTCTGTAAGTGGGTGAGTCCGGATTGGGTTGTTGTGACCAGTTGTTCCAGTCACTTCGATAGTGTCAACAAAAGACTTGAGAAGGAGATTCCTTGGACAGGTTGTCCCCGGTTTAAGATTGCTGTGAGGACTAGAAAATGTCTAACTTTACGCAGTTTTTCGGTGGAAGCAGTTTCTGTCACAGGACCATTCAAAACTCGTCCTGACGGCTTGTTTCAAACAGGGGATTCTACACTTTGACTTAAATGTGCCGTCCAATGGTATGTTGATGAATGGTGATTGTCTTCGAACTTCACCGGAATGAATTCACCGAAATACCATCGTTGAGAATTCACATTCACGGAGAACAGGAAAGAATAGGGGAGGAGAAGCTGGGATCGCTGGTCGCTAAACTGTGAAACCAAGGGACTATCATCACCATGTTTTGATGAGAAATGTGATGTGTCCAATGAGGCTTGCTTGCACTGGACTGCTTGCCTTTGGTAACTCTCCAGTTGCTCTGACGTCGCTTCATGTGAAGTTGCATTTACACACTGAACAGTGCGTCCTCCATATTACACTAATTGCGCGTGGAAGATTCTCGTGAGAACGTACGATCTAACCGCTTGATTGTGAAATTTCCATCCGCGAGGCTGCGCTCGCACGCGACCAGTGAGACAGAATCAGACACTGGGTCAACGACCGTCGTGACTGCGACATCGGAAACCAATGGGAATCAAGGGCGAACAGCTATGTGAAAACAGCTGATGAGAAACAACGTTCCACATCAAAACAGCAGCATCACGTGCGTTCACATTGCAGCGATAAACAGAACTGGGCAAGGTGTGAGGCCGTCGTTGTTGCTCTTCTGCCGTGTAAATGTTGGTTAATTTAGTCTGGCTTTGTTTCTCTCGCACCTTATTCCGTTGTTTTCTTTTGTGGCGTGCACTTTTCGGGTGCAGACGTGATGTGACCGAGGGCGGCTTAGCAAACCATCAACATTTTGAGGTGAAACACGATCGGCGTTTCCGGATGCTAGTGTGTTCGTAGGGGCAGTCAAATGCTTATCGAGGATCTATGAGTTACCCGAATATACACCGCGTCCGATTTTAGCCGGTATGGATCTACCCATCATATCATCATACGGCGAGTAGATCATAACCTGATGGTTGTCCACAACCTCGGCATAGTATGCGCGGTGCTGACTGAAAGTGGTCATTTTCTAAGTGTCAATGCGAAACTCGTATCGGTCTCCATTAGGTGTAGGATTTTGATCAATTAGAAGACTAGTTTGATAGGAATCCGGTGACTAAGGCCACCTGAAGGGACGCGAGAAAGACGAATTCGAAAGTGTTTTTAAGTGTTTTCCTCAACCTTACTCATCTACGTTCTATTAAAACAAAAGAAAATATTTCCCCCAAATTTTCGCTGTATACGTTAATCACACATGTGAAAATTTCGAGATGACATGAATCAGGCTGTTTGGCTTCGTTGTTTCCATACATCTGGCGTCAAATCATCCCGCCAAATGAACGAGATAGACGAGCGAGATGCTGAGTTTCAACAAAGTAAGAATAAGACGTGTAACCTCTGAGTACGAGTTTGAGCATTTTCCAGATCACATGTGGGAGACTATTCAGCCCGGTGAGTCAGCTCCACTCTGCTTAACCAAGTGGTCCACGTAAGATTTATTCTCGGTAAATCCTATGACTGGCCCATCATTACCATCACTGATCGACCGTGCGTAACTCACGAATACGAAGAACTATTTTGGCATCTAACCCACAAATACGAACGTGACCATCATCTTGTGGGAGTCTAATCAGCAGTGTGGTTGGATTCCTGTACAGGTATTTCGCCACACGTAACTCCCGTCTTGTTCTTTCTGGATGAGTCGATGCGAACTAAACTCTCTGGACAAGGCGGATGAAAGCTTTGGAATAAATGACATTTACACGCGGTGAGACCACTATCGCAGAAAAATAACACCTCATTTTCACATTGAAAACTGCGCCGACCGAGACAATACGTCAAAAACATGCCCAATGTACGCTAGCCTCGCCGAAACACACTTGGTGGCGCATACGCTTGCTGAACGAATAAATGTGGGCCGTTTATCCCACAATATGAGAAAAACTGTGCTAAGAAACATTGTACGCCTAGTCCATGGTTGCCACCACTAATCAAGCATGAGTGTCTCGCGGACACTAGGATTGATTATGATGCGTACCCCCAAAACATGCTTATCACCATCATCTTGTTCCCCTGTGGGAGTCTGATCAGCAGTGTTGTTGGATGGCACTCATAAGTTTGTCAGAAGGTATTCACCATATGTGGGCTTGATTATGAACCAGGACTTAGCAGGCAAGCAGCACTACAAAAACTAACCAGGGTATTGGCACTCATGTAGACCTGCGTACAGGAAACCGCATCGAAGGAGAAAACCCGACTCTCCACACGTATCTCGACCCACCTAACTCCCGTCCTGTTCTGCTCAACACCAACTGCCAGGTGAGGTCACACTCGGCCGTGGACATTACATCCTCAAGTACGCACAACTGCCATTTCACCCGAATAGAACGCAAGAAGCAACAACAAACTGTGAGGTAATTCACCCATGTATATTGCGTAATCAAGCAAATGACAAACAGAATCCAATCCAACGAATCTACTTCGAGGCGGCACGGCACAACAATGGCACTTCAACCAAAAGCTTGCCTCCTCGAAGCTCAGCATTCACTGAGAACGCGTCCACTGTATCCGCACATCGTATGAGCGCGAAAATTACTTGACTAAAACGAAACCCCCGTGAACACCAAATTCATATGCATATGTGTGTTTATTTGCACATCAATATTCATGTGATACTGTCGTTCTTGAAGAGGGTGTACAGAGTAGTGGCTTGTCTAGATATTTCATCGACCTTATGGGTAGTGTCATGGAAGATACTTCCCTAGTTTAAATACACTTTCTGCTGAAACGGAATGTGGCTTTCGTAGGACGCACTCATCCGAAGAATATTCAAACCGAGAGGCTCTGATGAGCCGCTACGTGTATTTGGGTTGGTGTTCAGGCAGAAGTCAATTCAATTCAGTTCAATTTATCAGCTATAAACCGTGTGCCATAGGCACATTGGGTCCGTCTGCCACGATTTCGATCACCGAAAAACTGAACAAACAACCAAGCCTTGGAGGCGAAGGCATGTTCAGTTTGTTCGGAAATTACGTAGCTACGCATTGAAGGCGATAGTTTTGATGCAGCAGTGCCGCTGCGCGATTGGACCATTTCTGCCAATGTCATTAACCACTGGTGATTTGAGCCCCGGGGTCTCCATCCAAGAAGGCAACCTGACTTAGCTTGACTGGTTGTTAGGTTTCTCACTCTCTTCTCTCCCCAGGTCTTATCTGGATGGAAGACGTAATCTCATTGAACGTGCCTTATTAGCGTTCTTTCACACCAATACGCCGTTATTTGAGTCACATCAACCTAATACCACGGCCCCAAATTCGATGGGAATGTTGAGTTAGTTCTGGGAGTTTCCACTCCGTGTTATATAACGTATCAACGGATGCTCAACTTCTTACTCCACACTCAGCGTGCGCACCATCACACTTCAGATTTGCAATGTGTTCGGGTTCATTGTGAGCCGCTTCTCCTAGATTTGCGTCTTCAGCTTTGAAAGGATCCTGAGCTTACGGTGATGAGGCGAACGGGTTAGTTTTTTCCACTGTTAAGTTGAAAACACGCTCCTTCCGGGTTCAGTGGTTCTTGTATCCCTAGTTCAGGTTTTACCCTATAGGAAACATACAATCTTGTGGCTCGCCATTTTACTGCAGAAATAATTGTAAAAGGATTCGTTTTGTTGGTCACGTCCCCAATATGCTTTTCGTTTTTACCCAAGATTTAAACGGAATCGGTATTTTATTACACAAGCGATGGAGATTGGTTTACTCTTATACTTACTTATGCTTATACTCTTTCTTCATCCGCTGTCCATAATACATGTTCGAAGGGAGGGGTGAAGAGTCCTTAGATCACCGATCGACAGCGTGTGTGCTATGTGGCTACTTGTTTCCGGTGCGAAGTTTTTCAAAACATATGGCGTTCTTCTAACTGTTTCAAAAAAATGTCTGAAGTTACACGCCAGAAACGACGTGCGTTGGAATTCTGCTTACGTTTAGACGGACGAGTCGATCGCGTGTTTTGGCCAGTTTCAGTGAACAGCTGATTTGCTGGTTTTCTCTGTACAGTGCCAGTAGTGTTCGTGCAGACATTATTGATTTTGGCGTTTGACCTTCACTGCGAACATGCGCTTTGTTTTTAAGGAACCGACGCCTATAACAAAGGATACGCCTCAGAAACGTTGCCTTATTTTTGTTCGGTACACTGGAGCTACCAACTGTGAAAACATACGTTTTCAGGTTGTTTCAGCCCCAGTTCGGCCTGGATTGTCCCCGTTTTCGCATGAAAGTATTAAAGGACACTCGTCAGAAGTGGAATGAGAATTTAGCGGATTACATGAAAGCCAGCGTGAATTGTCCGTCTAAAAATAGCAACTCCATCCAATTTGTTTGTCGTTCAGACCAAGAAAGGGGTTCTTGACTTATTATTTCGGGGTAGTGTTCAGCTCACTAGTAAAACCGAACACAAATGGACCGAAACCAGTAAATCACCTGAACAGTGAGCATGACAAGACGATACCCGTGGTAATTTCCACCAAGCCCTTTTGCTTTATACCGTTCAGTGGAGTTCCATGAGATTCTTACGAGGGATATAAATAAATAAAAACAGCTTCTCCGATTTGTTCTTTTTTGCCGTTTGCTTCTGCTAAATTCGTTGGTTTTTAGCCCTCAAACTGCCTTCGCTCGAGACTCAACACAGTGAACGACAGCACCCAACAAGCCTTCTGGAACCTCAGTATGTGTGCGAGTGCTGTGACCAACATCATTGATTGTATTCGCTGTACTAGATGGTATAAGCCAACTTGTTTTGGACTGATTCGCAATGAGTTTTAAGCCCATGACAGAAATTCCGATACCTTGTTTTTTATCCGATCTGTGCTTGTTTCCTACTATTTACCGTTTTGGATGGGCTCCTATGCCATCAAGAATAGTTGTTAGCTAACCGTGACTCTCCATATAGCGCTGAAACAATCATAGTCATTTCAGTTTGCTAATCTTGAAATCCTTCTCAACTGTCACCTCGCCTAAATAAATCACTGGCGACTGATGTGTGGAATAAATTGCATATTTAAAAGCTTTGTCACGAACTGATTAGGGGATTAAACAATAAGCACATAAGACCAAATCAAATCCAAGGATTGGAGTTTTGGATATGAGCGTAGGAAAATGCGGATCGACAAAGTAATGTACTGGCGTCCACAAACTGTGGCAGGTCTAGTGTGACAGCCTTTGGGTTTGCAGATGAACTGTTGGTGTCTACCACATTCAGCTGAACAGTAGCCAAGACACCCTAATCACATCAGTGACATCAGAGTTTCCTTTTGGCACTGAAGATCTTCACAATCCCCTTCCAACTCACACAGGTGTTTACAACAGCGAGGTCAAAAGTACCCATGTATTGCCACAAAATAGGTGTTGTATCTCTTCGAAATACCCACAGAATCTAAAGCACTCTTTCTTGCTTTTTTCAGAAAACATGTTCAGTTGTCAGCTTCGTTTCACTTGGCATCTATGAGTGACAGCCGCTGCACAATGGAAAGTAAGCGAAATGCGCCGTTCTTTCTGATCACTTTTTGGTCAAATACGCTGGGAACGCTTGCACACCGAGCCTTCCAAAACATCAAACCGTCAGCCGTTTACGGTTGCAATGTCACCGGGTGGCGTGAAATACTTCTACAGCCCTGTTGACTATGGATTCTCAGCTGGCCTAGCTATCCGATTCAGAATGACCTATCACAAAAATACGGAAGTGGACGCCATGTCAGTGACTGATATTTTGGCAGCAAAAATTAAGTCTTCCCAAACAATTCCCGGTATGCAGCGATGAGATTCAGCATGAGTAGCTTAGGTCTTGCGCAGATAACATCCTATTCTAAACTGTGTTCAAATTTCATCATGTATGATACTAGAAGTATGTTTTCCCTACGGTCAAAACCGAATTGGGTCAGTATGCTGGGACAAACCAGAGGAAAAATTGTGAAACTTCCTTCTGGATGTAGGCTCTGATTTTGGAAACGCCTTCATACAAAAGTCAATTTGAGCTAAGTGACAACATGGTCGTTCTGCTCACCGGCTTTGGACATACAGCATTTGATCGGTTGATGCGGTCTATAACTGACAGTGCATTTGGAAGACGACATTGCTGAATCCCCCTTCGAAAAACTCCCTATTACTAAGATGAATATACTGGTGTCAAAGGATAGCCTGTTCAGTGACATTTTCCCTCATTAACAATTGGTCACATGCGGGATTCACATGGGTCTACGTCAGCTCCATATTTTTTGTCAGTGGCTCTCCTGAAGTACTCTCCTCTCCGGTTTCTATTTTTTCTCCCGAAGCACCACAGTCCAGGATTATTACAGTTTAAGCTCGGTTAAATACACCGTTTGCCTATTAGTTATGACCACTGGGAGGTGAGATTGCTCAAGTGGTTAGAACACGAGTTTACTAACCGGTAGGTCCATGGTTCGAACCCGACCTCTGCCATTCGACTTTCCCTGTCTAGGCTTGGGACACCTGGCAGTATCCCATTCCTCGTGCTTCCTTCCGCTGGCATGACATCTAGGCACCGAAAGGGAATTCCAGCTAAACGATTTTTTATTTTTTAGTTATAACCACTGTAAACCATTCGTCACCAGAAATACCATACGTTACCCATAAACTATTGGCGGTCTCGTGATTATGCATTTTGTCTAAGAGGAATATGTTGGAGTGGACATATAGAACAATCTGGGAACTCCATTCTGCCGTGAACGCTCCCCATTGCTTGCAAGTCGTAAGCTAGAAATTCTCTCCGGACACTTTGCAGTTCCATGTTTTTGTATAGCGCAATGGAGTCAATAAATTATCTAGCCAGTTAAGCGCGTTTTACGGACATGGAGTCAGCATTTGAAAAGTCACGAATTTTATTTAAAGCCCGTAATAAATTGCACTCCGGACTCCGGGAATTAATTCGTTTTTAACTTGGGATCTGCAAGTGACGTTCTGTGGTATATTTCATGATAATATAATCGGAGAAGATGTGGGATATGTCCCAATCTTCTGATCTCTGTCCTTGCTTTCTGCGGCCATATTCCAACACAGCCACCGAGGCCACTGTGAAAACTACAGAATCAACACTGATATTTTTAGCCGGCATCAACTTGTACTCATCCTCAGGAGCCCATCAGTTTAAAATTTCAATTTCGCTGTCCACATCACATGTTTAAAATTGCGCATACGGGAACATGTTTGTCCTATTCCCGTCTGTCTGCCTGTCTACAGAACTGACTAACTGAGTGGATGCATGAAGTGACCCTCTGACCGTCAGACTTTCTATTTTTATGCTATGTTCTTAACCGTTTCATGTCGTTTCTGCCCATAATACATACAGAATGTCCAACTCAAGTGTCTGCAACTTACGAGCCATAAATTTAGCATTTCCTGCTTGTTCCATTCAACTGTTCCTTCCACTTGAAAAGTGGTGCTTCTCTTCGGACAAAACACCTTTTGACGTGGTCATTCTCCAACATTAGTTTCTTTGTGGATTTTAATGTTGCTGACATCTCGTGGCCCTGTACAATCTAGTGTGGCTTCACGTCAATAGACCACACCTTTTGATTTCCACCGTTCGATAACCAAGATCAATAGCGTCAATCGGAGTGTGACCTAGTGTTTCAAACTGCCGTCTGTAGATAAACTTCAGGATGTTCACGGTATGGAGTTTGATCATTGTCAATTCGATGGTATTTTTAACTTGCTTTTTATCGTCGTCCACGGAAGCAACAATTAACTATTTGACGGAGAACAGACCGAGGGATATTAAATTTCTTTTCACTCATTTTACACCATTTGAAGATATGAACCACCCGCAATCACGATCACAACGCATGGGGTTGCAGACGCGAAAACCATTTTCGGACCGAAGTAAAACGCCCGTATGGTTGAACACTGTAGCTGACCTTACAATCATTATCAAGGCTTATATTGAAGCGGGTATAGCAATACATGAAGCTGGAAATATCACTGATGTAAACGTGGAATTGTCAGAGCTGATGCGCAAAGTTGTGACGTTCCCAACCGATGATAAAAGTTACTTTTTGTCTCATCTGCTCAACCCATACAGCAGGTTCAGGAACCCTGTATACAAAGATTTTTATGATGATTTCCGAGAGGAAAGGATACAGAATGAACCACTTAATGAAATCAAAGAACCTCTGTTTATGTATGGTATGCGAGCGTGGAAAGCGTTTTACCTGCTGGCGTTCAGCAGTAATCCATCATTGTTTGCTAAAGCTGACTCCAGTCAATATATTGTTCAAGACTACCAACCACCGAGTACCATTCATGATGAATGGAGCCTTGTTTTCATAGACGAGTATTGCCGTATTGTCAGGACAAACTATTCCGATCATATTGGAATACCTAATGGATTCTGTCCTGACCCTTGTATGACACAGCCCTGTATGGGCCTTCCGCACACCTCATCCGCAAAGTGCATCCCCACCGGAACGCTTTGGTACGAGTATAAGTGCAGTTGTCAACCCAATTATAAATGGACACAGCCGCCCAAAACTAGTGGTAAGTCTGCAGCTTCTTTCACGTCTACCGTCCTACGATTCGGTCGGATAGGTTTACATTTATTCACCACAACGCAGCTGTCCCTCAAGTGTGGGGCTATTAGCTGTCATGTTGGTCATATTTTTTTTCGCTAAGCTTCACTGTGCCCGTGTTTGACTAACCATGGGCTTGCTGCGTTGCGCGGCAACGCACTAGCGGCATCACTTGGATTGGGGATGAAAATTTTGCAACAGAACTGCGGAACTCGGTGAACAAACCAACGACCATTTGTACTACCTCGATAGCAAAGTTGCCATGTTTCTGTACCGATTGGAAGAGAAGAGTAGTCCAGCTGCAGCATCCTTTGGGTACCTTACTGCGATGCCACCAGAAGGAAGCATGAGGGATGGGATACTGTCAGGTTGCCCAAGCCTAGAAAGGGGAAGTCGAGGGGCAGAGGTCAAGTTCGAATCGCGAACCTTCTGGTCAGTAAATTCATGCTCTAAGCACTGAGCCATCTCGCGGATTGGGCCAATAGGGAAAACTGTTAAATCGGAAGGAAGTGTACACTCAGGTGTTGTGTTATGACAAAAGTTTAACTGGAATCTAGTTGGCTATTTCATGTAGGAAAAACGCTCTGTAACAGAGATTGTTCACCTGGAATGAATATATCAGATACTCTCATTTGTACACTCATTGAATTCAAAAGGTGAAAATCAACTGAATCCAGTCAAATGTCTGGCCTACAGTCTTGTTCTCCACCTGAATGTGCTACACAACGCCGCTTCAGGTTTTAGTTGGCGCTGTGTTCAAGATATCACAGTACATTGTTTTCTTGAACGAAACCACTCATACAGCTGCTGAAAATTGTTCGACAGCCCACCACCGATTGCGTCCGTCTTGGAGCTCATCAGGTCGGTACAGACTCCAAGGTTTCGCCAATCTTATGTTCTACTCTAACCCAACTTGAACGGAATTCCCCAGATGCTCCCATTTGCACACTCATTTCGTCTTAACGGAAAGCCTAGCAAGATCCAGCTGAATCTCTCGTTTATGATGTTCTTCAGCTGAAATTATCCTTTTCGGCATAGTAGTTATTTTTTACTGTGAATACTTATTTCACCTGACTAGGTGGTTGACTGGTTCCTAAAATTAGTGACAATATCGGACATTCTACTCTGTCACCCTCAAGAAAATCAAAGCGAACCAACGGCCCTAATGCATATACGTCTTTTTAAAGTGTAACAGCAGTCTCGTTTATCAAATGTACACTTCACCAAAATTACCGGGTTTTGTGTATACCGCACATACTCAGTCCTTTCTGTAGAAATCGTATTTTCTCGTTACACGAGAAGGAATGGTATAAAAACACCATATAACTGACGATTTTCTTATCACTACACATTGACGATAATGTGATCCTTCCTACGAAAGGATTACTGCCTTCTCCGCCTCTTGCTTTGGAGGAAATTGGGATCAGATAGTTTCCTGTTCTCAGTGAAGTGGCATAACTTGCCACATGAGTTTGGCACCTCCACTATCTAATTGTACATCCTCTAGGAATAGTTTCTAGGAAGTTCGCAGTAGCCAAACTAGGATAATGACTTGAGGGATTAGGGTGAATGAAGAGACAAGTTGTAGTGTGTTACGAATAGAAATCCAACAAATTACACTGATGTAGTACAGCCCGTTACTTAAAATGTGCAGTCTGAACGACTGGTGTGTACTTTGTATCGCTAGGCACTGAAGCTACCTGAGTCCAACAGGGCTAAGATGCCCACTGCAACATTTCCACTGACTGGGAGGTCATTCATTGAAGACTCTTTAAATAGTGTCCTTGTGAACTTAACCTTTCAGCACAAATACTACTCTTGTTTTGTCGGATGCATAACTACTGTTATGAATAGTTTTGATTCAAACTCGAATGAAGTTATTTCATTCTCGTATTTCTTTTCGATGCAACGCAATGCTAACTGGACGTAAAATCACTCAATCTACTTCAAAGCACTGAGCTTTGATTGTAATCGATAAGTATATCTGCAAAAAGGACTCGAGAAACTATTGGAGTAAAACTGACTGATGATACGAACAAGTGCATTCGAAGATTGGGCACGGTGACCACCAACAACAGGTATATGGATGTACAGAGTTATCTGTGAATTCACTGTGTTTAAATATTGACCCATCCAGCCAAGCACTGATGCGAACACGACGTTCGGTGCAAGCTTCGCAAATAGATCAACGGTCACTTGGTTAACAACTACTTATCCGTGAATAAGTGACCACAACACGAATGAAACCTCTAGATATTTATATGCGACTTCACATATGAATCATTTTTCATCTTCCTGATTTTGTGTTTCGTTCATATTTCCGCAGGTCATTGTCAGACTGACGATACTTGTAGTTCGTACTGTGATCCGGTTGGAACGCGCAGATGTGATGTGGTCGATAATAAACAGTTTTGCGTATGTCGTGTAAGTTCAAACGTTTTACACTCTTGCTAGAATGGTAGAGGTTACAGCTCGGACAAAACGATTTGTTCCAATCCAAAACGAGTTACAATGGCCCCACATCAAACTGATATTCTTTGCACAGATGGTCATGTGATTGCCAGTGTTACTAGGCCTGGTCATCCATTTCCACGCTAAGGGATGCATCAAACCAACCAAGCATGGCTACTGCTATTGACCGGCTGGCTCACAGACACATGCCTTAATCATGACATTTACAATATGAAGAACGTCGTGATTACCCGTAACAGCAGCAGCTGTGTCCGTTGGGTTAGTCGATTCAGTGTTGAATTTCGGTACATCAGTGTCAAACATTTGGATAATTATGTATTATTCTTTCTAATCCCTGAGTACTCCGACCGAAGGAAATTTCACGACACAGGGTTAGCTCAGAAAATGGTTGAAGAGGACTAAGCGTAGGATCGGCCATTTTTTGTTTGGCCAACTGATTCTATTTCGCATCATAGTAGATTACTACTATCGCTACTGATAACCACAAGCCGTGATAGTCGGGCTTGAGTGCTGAGGCTATCAGTTACCGGTGAGGAGCCTCAGTTAAGGATTGTGGTTCCTTCTGGGGTACGCATCTTGACTCTGATAACGCCATCGTGCGGGCCCGCTTAGCACTTCGCTTTCCGCCAACATTACGCGTTGCGAAAAAGAGCAGCCCCCTTCATCAACTTTGACAAGTTTCAGCAGCTGAAGAGTATCGAGCTGATCTGACTAGAAAGCTACCGAAAACGCAGTCATGCGGATGACGAACATTGCTTGGAGGATGAATGGAAGTGAGTTAAAGAAGGTACGATCTCAGTAGTCAAAACTGTTTGTCCAACCTAGCTGATTCAGAATGAACACTGGATATCTTCAAGTTCGGCAGATCTTATTGCTGCCAAAAAGGCCATACCAACAACTAGCGACCATGATGCTGCACGCAGGTCCCTCAAACAATGGTCAAACAGCAGCTTGAAGTATGACAGAGAACGCTGGTAGATTTCAAAGGCCCATGAGATGGAGACGGCTTGCGCTGCGGGCAACAGCGTGCCTTGTTTCAACTGATTTGATCAACCGGTCAAAAGAAGGCACATGTAAGTGAAACAATATGCGGAAAAGACGGAAGAGAAATTAACTCTCCCAATCGCCATCTTGAACGGTGGGCTGAGCACTTCAAAGAACAGTTCACCTGGTCTTTTGCAGTACAATCGCTGGGAAAACCGAACTGAATGAAGCATTGACACCAACCCAGCGTCAGTAACTAAAATCCAGTGTGAGATTTCAACCCTGAAGCGCAACAAAACACCTGGCCCGGATGGTCTACAGCCCGCGCTTTTCAAAGAAGGTGGCGAGATCCTGGTGACGACCACACTGTAGCACATTTGGAACGAAAACAGGATACCAGCCGAATATGTCTCCTCGACCGTCATCCCAGCTTTCAAAAAGGGCGCAAGAACGTCATGTAAAAACCGTCATGGTATCAGCCTGGTATCCGTCACATCAAAGAAGTTCTCTGGCGTTATTTTGCACAAGTTGGTGGATTATCGGGAGAGGCAGGTTCGTGAGAATCAAGCTGGGTTTCGCCCGGGTCGGGCATGCATCGAACATATCTCTACCTTGAGACAAATTCTTGAGCAGCGCCACTCCTTCAGACGTCCCACCTTGATCGTTTTTCTGGAGTTGAAAATTGCTTCTGATTCTGTCGATCGTCAGCAACGTTGGCAGTGCCTGGCGATCAAAGATGTCTCTTCCAAATTTCTTTCCCTTATGAGGGTGCTGTATGCAAACTCCTGTGGACGCACATGAGTGTGCGGGAAACTTTCGCCTGAGTTCCTCACGTTCACTGGTGTAAGACTAGGCTGTCCTCATTCACCTTTCCTCTTCAACTTTGTTATTGATATGCTGCTTGAAGTTTATTCGCCTGCCTCGGAAACCTTGGGAGTCGAAATTCTCCCTGGATGTTCCCTCACAGGCATTGAACATGCAGACAATGTTGCTCTCCTTGGTTCAGATCCTTCCCGAAAGCAAATCATTTTAAATAACCTCTGCCGCATGGTTTGACATGTATTTCACACCTGCAAAGTGTAAGTTGCTCCCACAATGCTGGATGGAATCAAACTCACACATGCTTGCAGGTGAGCCAATGGACGTGGTAGATAAATTTTTTTACCTGGGCAGCTGTATAGGTTCCGGTGGACTGGCTGGCAATGAGACTATTTCTCGAATCAGGAAAACCAGGGCAGCTTTCGCCAACCTCTGACACCTATCGCGCTGACGTCACTTTAGGTTGTCTGTAAAGGGAAGAGTTTACACTGTGGTACTGTGATTCACACTAACTTATGGATCGGAAACTTGGTCCCTGCTCGCAGAGGACGTACGGAAGATGTCAGTGTTTGGCCATCGGTATCTTCGAAGCACTGGTCAGGTCTGTTAGGAACAACGGATAAGCATCGCTGAGCTACGCCAGATGGTGTTAGAAAGAACGAACTCTCCCGCGATAGACGAATTTCTCAAGCT